CTTATATGCATGTGATATAAAACAAAGATGTTGTGTGTCAGGTCAAAGACAGCTGGTATGAAGTGGAGAACTATATCTTGCTGAGACCTTCCCATTCTTGTATCAATCACATAATGGTCCCGGTGACGGATCCATATTACGAATGGATCACTCAATACTACAACGTTTATAGGTAGGTCACTTATATTTTAACTAAATTGAAACACATTCACAGACTCAATATATTACTCAAATGAATTTATCTATAAATATGTTTGGGATATTTACACTACGCAAAGAATTAAATTTGTCAACAAAGAAGGAATCCGGCTGATAACACCAAAATATGCAAATATGGAATATAAATTTTAATATGAAAAATGATCTAAGCAATATAGAGACTGTGATGGATATGAAGACAATAATTTCGATGTTGCATAAGGTCACAAAATATATTATGAATTTTTAATATATTTCTCAATGTGTTTTGTGTTATAAGGGGTTTTAAAAGCGTGTGCCTTAATAAGTTCATAAAGGGTTTCCACTACAAAGTATTTTTATCGGCAAGGTCACTGAGAGGTTATAGAAACAAATATAATTGTTTAAAGTCGTGTGTGTGTGCGCGATTGGGAGCGTCCTTGCCGAGCGTGTGATAGAAAACCAGGAGTACACACAGTAGTAGCACCCCCCCCCCCCCCCCCCCCCCCCCCGTTAAGCGCGGTTCCCCGTGTCAACCTCGTACCTCGGATATCTTGATTCGTAGGCAGATTCAGGGAGTACTGGGACCTAAGTGGGGGGTGGCTATTGGAGTGTAGGACGGGTTTAACCAAGTCTAAACGAGAGGACAACAACCTGGCCATGATATTCTCGTAGACATCTGTGGGCTGATTGTTCGACCCCATGGAGCTAGACCATAAAGGCGGGCGCCAAGGGCCTTACCAAATGGCCGCTCGGTGCATGGAGAATGCATCATTCTCTTGGCTAGGTGACTGAAAAAGGATCGGCTTATGGACCGAGAGGTCTGGGTGGCCATATTGCTCCTAGTATGTTTAAAGTCTTGTGAGGGGAAAGTAGATTTTTCCAGTACTGATCCTGTCCCTAAGACGGCTGTCATGGTGAAAGATCAGTTAGCGTTTGTCCCCCACACCTTTGGAGATGAAGGGTTAAAAGTGTGACTCTTTATGGGAATCTCACTTGAAGGTTGTCACTTGGGATCATAGACTGTGTATTAAGTTTTGGAAGAGTCCTTCTCTAATGTGTAATGAGATTCCACACACACACATAAATGTAAATGAATGTTTACAGAGAGTTTTCAAATCTCTCATCACATATCAACAGCTCTTCTGATCACGCAGGAAAAAGAATGTTAGGGATACTTCAATAATCCGAACCAGAACTCCTCAAATTTTTAATGGCATATATTGTATCCCTATTTTACACACACACTCATACAGCTTTATTAACACCACCTGTCTTTAACAGATTCACCATGTGTTTGCAGCATATACCAGAATATAAGTGCCCTCGGTATATTAAAGAAATCTTCTTCTAAAACATATTTGGAAAGAATAAGATGTAAGTGTTTTTTAAAAATCTCTCCCTATCAATTAATTTATATTTACCAGTTTATATTTGCATACCTATATATATGATGCATTATAGCGCGCCATCTGTTATGAAAATTCGAAACTATTATATACGCGTATGACTCTTTTAAAATAAAACAATTTCTACTGCCCTTACTGAATGGAAAAATTAATGGAAGGATCTGTCTCATCAGTGGTGAACCCTCCCAGCGGTAGATTACACTGGCGAAACCGTTTGGAGGGTTCACCATTGATGAGCCAGGCCCACCAATTAAATTTTCCATTGCAGTAAAGGAAGTAGAAATAGTTTCATTTTAAAAGAATTATACGCGTATAGCTTCGAATTTTCACCCTGTATATATATTTTGAAATTGCTTGAGGATGATAATAATGTACAGAAACTCGCCTCTCCTTTTTAATATGCATTAGAACGAAGCATTATTTCATTAACCTAGTAAAAGGAACTTCCCTTATGATGATAGAAATGAGCCTCAGCACCAGGTTTGGCAAATTCATACAAAACGGCAATCTAGATATAAAGGTAGAAAGGTTTCTTTCGGTATTTTTACATATATTAATAACAAAAAAAAGGCATATCATGACCACGAGCACATGAGCTTTTTAGATGACAGAGCGCCATCTAGTGGAACAGAAATCAACTAAACGTTGATTTAGCCTGTTTCCTGATATTTGGCCCACCCATTTTCTTGATAAATCAAGAAAAGCCATCCACGAACGCGTTTCGGGCTGTTGGCTCTCGTTACCTTCGATGACCTTTCTCGATTTATCAAGAAAATGAGTGGGCCAAATATCTGAGAACAGGCCGATTCAACGTTTAGTTGATTTATGTTCTACTAGATGGCGCTCTCTCTCTCTGCCATCTAAAAAGCACATGTGCTTGTGATCAGGATATGCCTTCTTTGCTTTTTAATACCAACACCTGGCTTTTTTATTTTTTTTTTATATATTTTTTTCACATTTATATATATATTTTTGAGAATAGAGCAATCCATAAATGAATCTTTAATTAAAAAAGGCATATATTGGATCAAAATATATTTTATTTTACTAATATTTCAGTTGGCAAAACGCCAACCTTTATCAAGGTGTTTGTTGTTGACACATATTATAACACCTTGATAAAGGTTGGCGTTCAGGCAACTGAAATACTGGTAAAATAAAATATATTTTTATCTAATATATGCCTTTTTAATTAAATATATACGTATATATGTTGTCAATTGTTTGGAGCGGACATCGTCGCTCCGAATGCAACAACCTCAAGATGAGCGCTCTATCCCGAAGAAAAAATCAATCCACACGCATAGAAGCATGCTTACCTGGCTTTATGTGGCATCCGGGAAAGTAAGATGGAACTATCTCTGTTACTGCTGCTACTGCGTTGTCTTCTCTACAGAAGCTGTCTGTCTTCTCTACAGCAGCTGTCTGTCTTGTCTTGTGGCTGCCTGTCGCCTGTCTTCTCTTGTGGGTGCCTGACCCCTGTCTATTCTTGTGGATGCCTGTACCTGTCCTGAGGCCGGTAAAGCTTTTCTTGTCTTGAAGCTGCTTGTCGCCTGTCTTCTCTAGTGGGTGCCTGACCCCTGTTTTTTATTGTGGATGACTGTACCTGTCTTGTGGCTGTCTTTCGCCTCTCTTTTGCTGCCTGTCGCCTGTCTTATGGCTGCCTGTCTTATAGCTTCGTGTCGTCTGTCGCCTGTCTTGCGCTCAGAACAGACTCAGCTTATATAATAATAGTGAAGTCGAAGAAGAAAACCTCTGTTATCCAATCAATTCTGGCATTGCCGGCATGTTTACATCCTCTCTGAGTTGCTTGGACAACGCCAGCGATCTGTTAAACGACCTTTCTGGTAGCACCCCGCTTTTCCAGTGGTATTTTTATTTGACCCCATTTAAAGTTACATCATTTGGTGATTCTAGTTGTCCTCCCCCGAAACAATATTTTATATACAACATTTAAAATATTACAAATATTTATAGAGAGCGTCTAGTTTAGATATCTAATTTAAGAGTAGAGGTTTATATATAGGCATAGAGTAGAGGTCGATTAGAGTAAAGGTATATATATCGGCATAGGGCGTTTCTCCAGTTAAAATAAAGGCCAAAAACTTGACGTCATCGGATTACGCCTCAATCTAGCGGCCTCGAGTCGGTTTCAAACCCACAAAACCAGCTTTGGCAAACTGAGAAGCGTCCACCTGAAGACCACGGTTTCGGCCTATAAGCCATCTCAGACCAGTGCGGACTTTATTCCATGAGATCCACACGGGATCCAATAAAATATTTACAATCTGCAAATTGTTTAAATGGATGTTGAGCTTATGAATTCTTAAGCATACACTCTTTGATCCCTCGATACATTCGTTTGATATATTTTTCTAGGCCTAAATTAAAACTATCTCGATATTGTCAAAGAATAAATATTCTGTTTTGGATTACTCTGCAAATCAAATGCCACGTCACTATCCTGATGCCAAGTCAGTATTTTATTTTTAAATAGTTTATATATATATATATATATGAAAAAATAAAAAAAAAAGTTCAGGTGTTGATATTAAAAATAAAAGAGGCATATCCTGACCAGGAGCACATGTGCTTTTCAGAAGGCAGAGAGCCATCTGGTGGAACAGAAATCAACTAAACATTGATTTAATCTGTTCTCTGATATTTGGCCAACCCAATTTCTTGATAAATCAAGAAAAGCCATCTACAAACGCGTTTCGCGCTGTTTGCGCGAAATATTTTTGGTCCCAGTGGCTTGTTGAGAAACCAAGAATTGGGTATTTAAGGCCAAACTTGCGTAAATACGCTTAACACATGAAAATAATGTATATATCGGTGGGATTGATCTATAGGGTAAAAACTTGAAATACTTTTCTTGTTAAAATAAATTTGTTTTATGATTACTCGTTCTGGTCTGACACTTATAATCTTGATATGGAACCAACGAATACTGACATGAAGCCAACACCCCAGGATGGTGCAACAATATATACTGAAAATATCTATATTTATTTTTCAAATAGGTATAATTTTAGATATTTAAAAACACAACCCCTATTTATACGAATGTTTTCCAAATATGAATAACGAATACTAACTTGTGTGTGCAATGTGAAGTTTTAGAGCTGAAATATTACCAAGTGTTGATTATAAATGAGAAAATTTTAGTGCTCTGGCATTGTGACAATATCGGCTGGATCAGAATCAGTGGTAAGAACCTTTATCGACTTTAAAACAGATTTTCACTTACACACATACTCTATAAAACAACATTTGAAAATTTTACCGCATTTGTTTCTTTTGAACGAAAAATCGAAATTTATTTTAAGGAGAAATAACGATTATTTCTAACCATAGGGATAGAATGTGAAAAGATGAATTGTGAAGAGTAATGATAAACCGAAAAATAAAAGTTTCCTTTGAATGGGAATCGAACCCACAGAGTTCCGCTTACCGGGCAGATGCCATGTCCACTAGGCTACTCTGGACATATTTTTCCGTTCGTAAACATTAGAAAGAAACACATGCGGGATAATTTTCAAATATTGTTTTACAATTATAGGCCGCCTTATATTGTATTATAACATACTCTATATAGAATTATTATACTAATTCTCAACACACTGTGCTTAATTATATCTTGTATTTATAATTAAATATACGCAAAAATTATTTTTTTAACTTAACTCTTTTGATGTTTTGTGGCCCTGAGTTTGTAGTATTCCCATCCCTGGAAAATTTTATTTTTCCGTTCATAGTTACCCTTCGCAATTCAACCTTTCATACTTCATCCCTAAGGATAGGAATAGTCGTATTTCTCCTTAAAATAAATTACAATTATTTTTGTTCAAAATAAACATTTGCGGTGAAAATTGTCAAACGTAGTTCTAAATATTAATATGTTATAACACCTTGATAAAGGATAGTGTTCAGCCAACTGAAATATTGGTAAAATAAATGATATTTTGATCCAATATATGCCTTTTTAATTAAACATTCTATAATGTGAAAAATAGTACAAAAGTGAAATTGAACCCGGATCAGGCGAATAAATTAAGAAAAAAAGAAAATTCTCGAAATATATTTGATAAAATTTGTTTTTTTTTCTTAGATATAGTTACTGCTCTTCTATATAAATATATCCGATGGATAATTTTTTAAATAAAATTATTGCGAATGGAATTAACTTTCATACATATTTCCCTGCTTTCTTGTTACCCATATTTTTGAAACCGATAAATATATTACGGATATTTCTCCAATTGAATAAAATATTCAATAAATCTAATTTTCAGGTGGAAATGGCTTTAATATATAATATAAATCAGGCTTTAATTGATACGTTTCTTTTTTAAAATCATTTATTCTATTAATCTCTAGTTTTCAGGCATCCAAAGCCTTTTTATCGGAGAAACACTTTAAAATAAATCGCAAATAGAGATAGAATCTACAAATTAGATACAGAGTCTGTTTACAGTTATTTGAATACTGATTTGACGCCTGTCTAGCGCTCACAACAAATTCAGCTTATATCATAATAGTGAAGTCAGAGAGGGAAACCTCTGTTATCCATTATAGTATGGCATTGCCGACATGCTTAAATCCTCTCTGAGTTGCTTGGACAATGTCAACGACCAAAGAAAAAATATTTAAAAAAATAAATTTTAAGGAATTCTTATATTTTCACCATGATATTGGAATTGATGATTATTTTCTCAACTATAAATACTATTTTGGTTTGATATTTATAAACAAAGAGAACATTTGTAGTTGAAATATAGATGTAAATTAAATTATAATTGATATAAATAAAATTTAAAATATGTGCTGAATTTCTTTATTCAGATATTGGGAAGCAAGATTTCGCGCGGTCGCTTTTCATCAGGCCACAGGCTTCGCAAAGGCGTGCAACATAAATATAATAGAGATTCACAGAAAGATCTCTATTGTATGTGTGTTGCACGCCTTTGCGAAGCCAGTGGCCTTGATGAAGCACGACCACGCGAAAGTTCGCCTCCCAATTTCTGAATAAAGAAACACAGCAAATATTTAAAAATTTATTTATTTCAAAGGATAAATTGCTTACATATTCTGTTGACAGAATCCTATTTGTAACAGAAGAACTTCTGGTGCTATCAAGAAAGAAAGATCCAACCAAGGAGCAATTGAAGAAAGTCCACGATGAATTGAAGAAATACAATGTTCCTTGGAATAAATTGAAACCTGTTGAACAGATTAAATGCCCACTTATATAACATGAATCGATGTTAAGTTTACAATATCACACTTCCAAGGATATGTTTCTTTTCAAAATCTTTCATCTCTATCTTTCAGGCACGTACGGCCCTTCTAAAGGAGGTGGAAGAGCCTCCCTTCCTGAGAACAGTTTTTATATTTCATCACCAAATTGTAAATAATCAACATTTCTTTGTTTAATATATCTTTGATTTTTGTAACAATTGACTTAGAGTGTCAATAAAACATATTGGATTATCTAAAGGAGAAAATATAGATGGCCATTCTCGTGCCCTAAATCTAGTGATTGTGGAAAAGAAGCTTATCCTTGGAAGAATGATATTGTAACCATAATATTGATACAAGGGATTATTTTATTGAATAAAATGAATCTATGTTTATATTATATACATATATCTATCTATTTTGTAATATAACTAATCCAAAGATATACATATATGAATATTTTGAAGAATTTTTGTTTGAATTCTGAAAAAATATTTTTCTCCGTTAAAGTACATCATGGTATGAAAATTCTAGTTTTTTTTATCAATTGCGTGTGTATTACAATAAAATATTTTCAATATATGATTTCTCATTGTTGATTTATGTTATCCCATACACAGAATTTCCTAGCTTTTAAATTATAACAAAATTTGCCTGTCAATAAAATATTCTAAAATTGATGATATAACATCAGTTTTTCTAAGTTAACAACCCTACATGAAGGTTGATATATTTTCCCCTCACCAATATTTTTAAATCATTAAATTTATTAATGATCATTTAAAATACAGAAAACTTGTTAGTATATGGTACCTTACAGCTTGACTGAAGACCAAGAACTTGGTCGCGTTAAATGGTGTAATTTCATTGATGAAAAAAGTTGATGAAAGCAAATCAAAGGCTGTTTTTAATATTATTACATGTTTTAAAATAAAAATACAACCTTTCGCAATGAGTTTCTTAAAAAAAAAAAGAAACTCATTGCGAAAGGTTGTATTTTTATTTTAAAATTTGTAGCGCAATATATTCGTTTACTTCAAATTATTACATGTGACGAAACTTGACAAAACGGCAATATACTCTTTGGTGCTCTTAAAAATAACCTCCTCCTAAGATAGTTCGCAGAGTTCGAAATGTTGGGTAACAAATGGTCGCTTGTTTTTTTTTTTTTAAGTAGTTTCATTGATATTGTTGTTGCTTATTCCTCATAGAAGGAAAGAGGGGTGCTGTTGGTCTGAAGACCTGGAAGTACCACGCTGTGTGACTTTGCTTCTTTTGGTCTCCTGACATGGAGTGTAGCCGCTCCTTTGGAGAACAGACAATTGATACCTTCCGACATTAGCCGGGTGTGTAGCACAGCCTTCACGCCTAGGGTGGCCCTACCAGGAGTTAAACCCCCGACGTCCTGTGCTACCCGTTTAAACCCTCCCGCCACTTTGAGACTGTATGATAGGATTTTGGGAGGGATATTGTGAAGTTAAAGATCGAAAGACTACCTAGAAGATACAAAGTTGTAGATAGAATTCAGAAATGATTTTCCCTTGAGAAGAGTAACAGAGAGTCACTGAAATGTCGAAAAAGAAAATGAAGAAAGATTAATAGAAATATATTTTTACATTCTACTGTCTGTAAATCTCAAACAAGATGGTGGTTAGCGTTCACTGTGCGACAACAAGCCATTGTCCGAGGAAGCATCCTGTAGATACAAGGATATAAAGGGATCAGGTAGAGGATAGCGGATCTATAGTTCCTGTTAGCAGTCCATGGCTCTCGTCTGGATCTACGTTGTGTTTATGATGCTAGGTCTGGCAACCTGCGCCTGTCCAGACATCAATGTAACCCTGTCGTTGACCATGGATCAGGTAGGAATCTTAGCGCAGAAGGACATTTAGTTCACGCCCGTTGGATATTGGATATAAATGTGTGTGTATCTAATCAAATAATCCTTTTTAAAATGTTCTACTGATAGCGTAGAAATAATATTTTCTGGTAAATTGCTTCATTTGTTGAAATAAATAGCAACTAAACGTTGAATTAAAAGTATTCAAATAATTCTTTAGCTAATATATTTATACATTTGTGTATTCATGTGAAAAATGATTATATATATATATATATATATATATATAACACATGTGCTCGTGGTCAGGAAATGCCTTCTTTATTTTTAATATCAACATCTGACCCACTTATCTTTTATTTTTTCATGTGTTAAGCGTATTTACGCAAATTTGGCCGTAATTACCATTTCTTGATTTCTCAAGAAGCCTCTGGGAACAAAAATATTTTTGGTCGCAGTGGTTACAGCCTACTCCACGCTGACGAGCGCCAACAGCGCGAAACGCGTTCATGGATGGCTTTTCATGATTTATCAAGAAATTGGGTTGGCCAAATATCACGGAGCAAGCTAAATAAACGTTTAGTTTTTTTTGTTCCACTAGATGGCGCTCTGCCATCTAAAAACACATGTGCTCGTGGTCAGGAAATGCCTTCTTGTATATGTAGTATATATGTAGTATATTTTAAGTTAGATAGTTCACAGCCTTCTTTTGGTGTTTATTATGGCCCCATATCTATATAAAAATATGTATCGACCTTGTGGAAATGGATGTAACAAATAAACAAATAGGCAAAGGTAGACCAGACGGCGACAACGACCAACGGCGCCAGAAGGTGGCGTGATTACGGGAGCCAATCAGGACTCTCCGCCATATGCGGGGCTCCAGTATAAAAGGGCCCAGAAAATAAGACAAAGCAGTTGTTTTCAGAGTGACGCCGTTATACGGTCGGTCGGATCTCTCACCCCTTCTTCTATCCGCGAGTAGGCTTAGGGCATCCGCGGCGCCCGTGGTCCGACTGCCTTCGTCCGTGGTCTATCTGTACTTCTTGGAGCTACCATCTAGACCTGCCTCTGTCCCTTGTTGTCCCCGTGCGAGAATCCCATCATGCACCCACGACCACGACTGCCCAGTACATTCCACGTCGGCTTGGTCGGGATTACTACAGAACCCGTTTAAGTCGACAGGATAACTAAGGACAACAGCATGCAGAGGATGACGGAGGTCAGAGACGAATACTTCGCGGATGCCCTCACCAACATGCAACCCCACTGCGAAGACCTAGTAAGCCGCCTAACAGACGCCATTCGGGGAATAGCCGTGCCTCGTGCGGAGGAAGCCCTCATCTCTCCTTTCGACGGATCCTACGCAGCAAGCAACTTCATCCAGCAACTCGAGCGGACGAGCGA